GCATGCACAGAATCCCAGAGTGGGGGTGAAAAGAGGATCAGACATCCCTCTGCTACATAATGAGCAAAAGGGCAACCTGGGCTACATGAGAGTCCATCTCAAAAACAAACAAACAAACAAATAAATGTGTTTTAGAGGCAACAGTTATACTAAAAGAGCTGGTGGATTCAAAAGGGGAAATGGTACCATCAGCACAGGGCCCATGGAGCGCTCTTCCCTAAGGTTATAACAACAACTTCAGCTCTACCCATAGCCCAGCAGGGCTGTCTGGAAACCCCATATTAAACTAACCCAGGGGAAGCACAGCTAGAGGTAGTTTTAAATTCTCTGGCTCTTTATTGGTTTGTTTAGTGATTCAATCAACTAACGATGGATACACTGTTGTAAGCTTTACACTGCTTTAAATGCTAGAGGAATGTAAAAGGCCAGCATTCAGCTGGGAAGGAGGTAGTGAGGTCAGATTTACAGGGATGGTGAAAGGTAGGCTGACATCTAAAACACAGGTGGGAGCATCATTGATGGGACAAAACAGTATCCCTCAAAGTTCAGACCCTTCAAACAATTTCCCCAGTAGGTATGAAGAAATTAGTTAAGCACACAAGGCAGGGAATGTTGTGGGAACACAGAGTTAGTAAGAAGGCCCTTTGGGGCACTCAAGTACCCAAGGAAATCCAGTCCAAGTGCAACCATAATCTAGTACCCCAAAATGTTCCCTATCAACAATGACTTCAAGCACCTCCAAGACCCAGCTGTCTGTGTCCCCCAACCAGGAGTTAGAGGCATGCACAATCATGCCCAGCTTTTTATATTTGTGCTAGAGATTTGAACTCAGATCCTCATGCTTGCAGATCGTGGACCTTGTCACACTAAGCCATCTTCCCAGCTCATGGTTTAGATCTTAAATGTCCTTCAAAATGTAATGTTCTAAAAGGCTGAGTCCCCATCCAGTGATGCTATTAGGAGGTTTGGAAAACCTTAGGATGTGTCTGGAGGAAGGAATTGGAGGTGGGGTTGTACCCTTGAAGAGCACATTAGGACCCTAGCCCTTCCTCTCTTTTAGCTTCCTGTCTGCACTGGAGTTCAAAGTTTCCTCTGCCATGTTCTCCCTACAACAATGCACTGCCCTGACAAAGGTCGAAAGGCAACCAGGCTAAGTGACCACAACTTGAAACCACGAGGACAACCTCTTCTTTCAAGTTGCTTACTTCAGGTATTCGGCAACAGTCACAGACAGGTACTTATTGGTTTGTGGGCACCTATAACATAGCTCCAGGGAAACATATTCAAACTTCTGAGAAAGAGACAGAAGGGTTGGAGAGATTAAGAGCACATACTGAGGCCTGGGTTCAGTTCCCAGAATAGTTCCACAGCATGGGACCCAACACTCTCTTCTGCACTCCAAGGGTATCTGCATTCACAGTGCACAGACCCACATATGCACACAATTTAAAAAGAAGCATCCTTCTCTGGTGATTGAGGCACAAACCCCCTTTCTTTCACAACATGGGCACTTGGAGTGTGGTCCTTGGATCAGTAGCATCCCTCAGGGACTTGACCGAAATGCCAGCTCTCTCAGGCGCCCCCCCCCACTCAATTTCCCAATCAGAATCTCCAGGAGTGGGGCCCAGTAGTCGTTGGTTCACAAGAGCTCCAAGTGATTCTAATAAACACTCACGTTTGAGAGCCACTTTCTAAAAAGCATAGAGACTAGTGACTGGGGTCTGTGTACCACAGGATGTCGGGCAGTGGCCCTGGCATTGAATGATGCTGAGTTGTGGGACTGGCACTAGTCCTTATGTCAACAGTATCTTTTGCCCTGCAGCCCAAAATGAATGCAGATAGTTTCAAATGTTCCCCAGGGGCCACCCTTGATGGTGGAACCGCTGGCACAGCCTTTGGAAAAGTGGGCCCTGACTTCAGGAAGCCCCTTGATTCTTTAGCTTTTCCTTTCAGGACATCCTCGTTCTCTGTGGCTTTTATGTAACAAATTAACTTCAGCTGGATCCTGCTATAAATATTGAGTTACTTCCCAAAGCAAATTTGTGGCAGTACATACCTACAACAGCACTCAGGGAGCTGTTCTGGGGCAGCCTGCACTACGCAGTGAGACCTTATCTCGAAAATCAAAAGTACATGACTGGAGTCCTAGCAATAAGGGGTGGAGGCAAGAGAGTTAGGAGTTCAAGACACCCCGAGCTGCACAGTATATTCAAGGCTAGCCTGTGTTATAGGAACTCCTGAGTTTTAAAAAGCAAACAAAAAGATGGCTGTTGAGAAAGCTCAACCTGTCTGACACAGGCACATGGTGGTATACGTTCATCCACGCTTATACATACATTATTTACACACAAATAAAGGTATATAAGAACTTACTTTTGTAAGCATTAAGGCAAAAGTTGCAAAGTTGCAATAAAAATCTTGAAGAGTAGTAAAAAGGCAGGCGTATTGATCAAGGACACAGGGGAATCCTGTTTTGTGTTTGCTGCTGGTACATCACTGGCTGATCAGCCTGGACTCGGTCACTTCTAACAGAGGTGGATTAAAAGGACAACTAGGGTTGGAAGCGGCAGAACTGGATTCAGATCTCAATCCTACCGCGCAATAGCTGTGGTCTTGGTGATTACCTAAGTGTGGTTTGTGCCTCAGCTTTCTGACCTGTCAAAATGGCCATCAGAATATAGTAGGTTCTATTACCTTATGTTTCATAATATTCTTGGCAGGCCCTGAAAAAGCATCTTCACCTCAGATGCTTATACAAACAAAACAGATTAAGTATTTACACTGCATGGGATAAATAAAGATTGCAAACAGTTTCATCTATTCAGATCATCAGGTTTTAGCACCAAATGAGCTTTGAGAAAATCTCCATACATAGGTCTTTCTGACTTTGAAAATGTATTGAGCTTTGAAAATGCTGGTCTGAGAAATGGGCTGCCCTGAGAGAGCATGGAGGATATGAGCCTGGGTTGGTGGTACACATACAAACCCCTGCCCCCACGGTCCAATTTTGCATTGGTAGGGAAGGGACTTCTAAGGGTTAATTATTGACCTCAATCACTTCATTTGCTTGTTTTGAACTCTTTTAGAGTTTGTCCCTGCCTGCAAAATAAAATCCAGTTCCTAACAGCCATACCAAAACTCTTTTCCAAAACCAGACACTGCCCTTCCAGGCTTCTTGCCTTTCCTGCCATGGCCTCCCATACACCTTTGGCTCTGGTCACCTTAAAACATCTTGAGTCGTTACCACTTGACATTCCCTTCTGTCCTTTCCCTCTGCTGGACCAGGACATGCCCCTCCCTTCTACAAACCACTCCCTTATCCACGAGGGCCTCTCCTAAAGACGGTTCTTGAACCCAGGCCTAGGAGTCTCTCCCTCCTGTGTTTCCCAGCATCTGGGGAGCGGAGTATGAAGGGCCACGTCCTCAGTACACTGCCCAGCACTTGGAAAGAGATACTTTAATGTCAGCTGCCTTTATAGTTACGGTAGAGACAAATGTCCAACGCATTCGGAAGCCAATGTTCTAAGTCCTCAGACATACATACAGGCGTCTGTGGCTCAAGGGCCATAAAGAGCAATAAATCAGAAGTTATATGAGCACAGGCACTGTGGCTTTGATCCCTCTTTTACTCCACGACTTCACACTCAATAGATACAGTATTCCTGAATGAATGAATGAATGTAGAGTATGATAACTGTAACAGTTTAGATAAAAAAAAACTGCCAAAACTAAACTCACAGCGCATTTTCATTAAATCCCACAAACTGTGGTACCTACAAAAGGGCTTAACATACACATCAGAAACCTTTAGTAGCAAGCAACTCATTGGTGGTCTGGTCATTTGCCAGGAACCTGCAGGACAGTGGAGCAGGAGGGGGTGGGGGACAGCTGCTCCAGGACTCCCCTGAACATCTGAGTCCCAAAGGAGCTTAGCAATCACTTTCCATAAAATCTTTATTAGCACTGCTCCTACTCAGTTATCTCAGATGCTCAGCAAATTTACGAAACATGCGTGAGTCACAAATAAAATATTTTACTGAATAAAGCCTGCTGACTTTAATAAACTTGTCTGCATTCTTGTTTATACCATGTAAATACCATTATTCTGTCTTGTTTACATCCCCTTCTCCCCATCCTACCAATCCCACACCACCTGGTTTGAGGTCAATTATATGTAAACTGGAGGGAAAACAGGCTCACCACCTGAGGGGAAAAGCCCTGACTCCTGCAAAAGCCAAATGAAAAGTTCAGTAGGAGCTAGGGGCTGCAAGTTTCCTGTTCCCAGGCAGGGCAGGCCTTCAGTTTCACTCACTTCAAAAGGTGTGAAGACAAAAGGCTGGCCTCTGCCTCCAGCTTTTAGAGAAAAGTAGAAATTCTCCACAAAGCCCTTCCAGTTTGGGCCTATTGCTGCTTAAGACTACAAGGAAGGTGTAGCCTTAAGGTTTCAAACTTGCTACAATTCTAAAGCAAGGGCTATTTCTCCAGTCTCTTTACACTGCCCTGAAAACCAGAGGCCAGATGACAAGTCCTGGGACCCATACCTGGCTTCCTCTGCATCTCCTTGACTCAGAGAAGCTACACCTCCGTGGCTTCACTTCCCTCTTGGGTGAAATGAAATCACTGGACCAAATGAGTCTTTCCCAAAGCATGGTGACCGGCAAAACGCGGCCACACTGACGACATGGCTTGTTTTAGTCCTATGATAAATGACATTCTGTTTCTGACTTGTGGAGATAAATTACTTGTAAACAAAATGACTTACCTGTAAATAAATTTTCCTTTTAAAAGAAATGCATCTAGTCTTTTAAAGAATGAACCATTTTTATTTCCAATTTGACAATTATTTGATCAATTAAGAGTTCAGATAATTATAGCAGCTGTGGTTTAAAAAAAAAATGATCCTAAAGCCAGATGAAGCATTGAAAGGTACATCCCACCCCACCCCCACCCACCCCGCCCCTAGGCACACCCCAGCAACCCCAACTCAAAACAAACTAGAAGTTGGAGGTGAACGTCCCTGGAGTTCCTTTAAGGAATAAACACCCGCACCAAGTCCCAAAGTAATCAGTCACTAGACCTTTGGGACTTGGAACAGACCCAGGAGAACCCAGAAACTCTGGAGCACCAAGTGAACTCCCTCGAGGAAGACACAGGAGGCAAAGGTCTGAGGTTGGAGCAGCACCAAGGGACAGGGTTTGGGCGGCAGGGGGGGCAAAGGCTGGCTAGAAGACCATGCATGACGACTGGCATCTCAGAGTTGCAGGGGCGCACTGGGAACCCAGGACTGGAGGCCGGGATTAGGTCCCAGGTTGAAAGGTCCTAACTGATGACTGTAAGAAGGAAGACCTTGGACTGGAGAGGCACTGTGAGGCGGGGTCCCAGGTTGGAGGCACGCATTAGAACAGGGTCGAGGGACGGAAGGGTTCTGTGAGTCGGGGTCCCGGGACAGAGGGGGCGTTTGGAACCAGCTCCTGGACTGAAGGAGCATGTTTGGGGTTCCCAGAACTAAAGGCGCGCGGCAGGGGAGCGATCTCAGACTGGAAGAGTAAGACAGGAACGCCTGACGGCACCCGGACCTCGGTGAACTGCAGGGACGCGGGAGAGAGGGGTGGCCGCTCGACCTGGGGTGACCACAGGAAGAGAGGCACAGCCACGGATCCCAGGGTCCCCACGCCTCGTGGCCGCCCCCTCCCCGCGCCCTGGCCCGCGCGCGCTCCCAGACCCTACCTGTCCTCGCTAGCGGTGATCACGCCGTCCTCCTTGGGGATGAGCAGCGCCGCCGTGACGGCGTCCTGGTGGCCCTCGATCTTGCTCAGCAGCACCGGGCGGCTGCTCTGCGGCCTGGAGTGGATCTCGGCCGCCATGTTCGCGCCGCGGCCTCCCCCGCGGGCGGCCCATCAGCTGACCGCCGGGCGGGGACGCGCCGGTTGCTTGGGGAAACCGGGCCGCGTGTGCGCCACGCTGCTGTAAGCTCGCGAGCACCGCCGCAGCACCCCGTAATGCCTAGAAAAGCCGCGCAGAGATAGTTCTGTGACCTGGGAGACAACTCCAGAAAAGCCAGGACCATGAGGAAGATTAAAAAGCCAAACCATGCCGGGTGGTGGCGATGCACGCCTTTCATCCCAGCACTCGGGAAGCAGAGGCAGGCGGATCTCTGTAAGTTCGAGACCAGCCTGGTCTACAGAGTGAGTTCCAGGGCAGCCACAGAGAAACCCTGTTTCAAAAAAACAAACAAACAAACAAAAATTGCTACTGATCTGAGCAGTAGCAGAGCATAGGCACCTGCCCTTCAAACAATACTACAGGGCATCCAGTGGAAGAATACTTACTTAGCATGTACAAGGACCTGAGTGTTGGGTGGCAGTTTCCTCTGAGGTTAAGAGTGTCCATCTGCAAGGGATTTTCGGTAAGATGGGGGATGTTTACAGGGAAATAAAACAGGGTGTCCTAACGGGAGAGGAAAAATGGCAGCCATCAGGGAAGCTCGCTGAGCTCAAGAAGTGAACAACTCAAAGTAGCTTGAGGAAGTCCCTGAAACTGACCAGCTTCTCTAGGCTCCTCTCTTCTTCCCTTCCTAAGCATAAAGAAGCCGTAAAAACGAGGGACACACTTGGATAAGCCAAGCTACCTAGAAGACTCTCAGATAAACTGACCTGCCTGGAAGGAGCAGAGCTGTGAGAAGAAATAGAAATCAGCCAGCACAGTACCTGGAAGATACACAGACCAGCCAGCCAATTCCTGTCAACTAACCTACCTAAAAAGGGCACTCTCCACCTGCAGAACTGCCTGCAGCCTGTGTAGTGCAATCCAGGTTTCCAGCTTTCATGAGTTGTCACCATGCTCAAGTAAGCTTTGGGTGACACAACTGTCCTTTTAGTCATTTCTGCTCCTGGAAATAGCCCCTTACCCATATTCCCTTGTAAGTAACCACAATAAAACTCATTCGTTCACCATATTGGATTTTAGTTGTATCCATACTTTGGTCTGTTGTCCATTCCCTATCTGGGGTATGTAGACATTTGCTCATCTTTTCGCAAGAATAGTGCCACAAAACACAGAGTTCCAACTGCAGTAATATCAGAGAGACGGAGACAGAAAAGAGAGAGAAGGGGGCTGATATTCTGCTGAAGGAAATGAATAGCATGCGAAATAAATTAAATCACATACTACATTAGAAAATGTTGGATGCAATGAAGAAAATAAAGCAATGAGGGGCGACATGGAATATAGGGGCGTTACAATTCTAACCAGGTGGTATGGAGAATACACGGATAACTGCACAGAGCCACCTTCATGGAGGCAGTATGGCCATAGCCTCTAGCCTTTAGATGCTTGAGGATCTGCTTCTGCTGCTGAGAAGCCCAGCAGTCAGCCATCCTTTTTACAGGGAACCTTACATTATACAGTTAAGGGAGACAGGAACATACAGACCTGACAATCAGGACACACTGTTAGTCCACACCAGTGCCAGAGCTCTCTTTTGGCCTGAGCAGGGCTTTATCAAAGCTGTTACTAATGACTATTCCTACCTAATCTTGCCAGCACCCTCCCTGTCACAGGTGTTAAGCTCAATTAATAATATCCTGGATGCTAGCCTCTAGCTCAGTTTCTGCTTGTAGAGAATACAACCTGAGTCAGGTGACCAGTAGATGCCTCCTTGCAAAGACATTTGAGCCAGTAAGGAAGTAAGCCCGTGGAATGTGGGCAACATGATATCATGGACAAGGAAATAGCACATGCCATGGCCCAGAGGTGTGCAGGCCTGGGGTTTTATGGGAATAAAGCAGCAACCAGTGATGGGGGGGGTGGAGCAGCAAGAAGAGAAATAAGACAGACAAAATAGATAAAGCTGCGCCAGAAGACCCCATAAAGATTTGGGGGTTTCCTTCATATTTGTTGGGAGGCCAATGACAGATTTTGGGGAGATTGGACTGATCTACTTTTAAGATTTGCTTTGGTTTTGAGATGCTCTTGCCATAAAGTCAAGATGGTCTTGAACTCACAATCCACCTGCCTCAGCTTCCTTAGCACTGGAATTATAGCTGTGTGCCATCATGCCCAGCTACTTACAATTTGAGTGATTGAATTGATTGATTGATTGATTGATTGGTTGGTTGGTTGATTGAGTGGTTGATTGATTGATTGGTTGGTTGGTTGGTTGATTGAGTGGTTGATTGATTGATTGGTTGGTTGGTTGGTTGACTGATTGATTGAATGCTTGACTGGTTGGTTGAATGGTTGATTGAACAGTTCATTGATTGATTTTTATGTTATGCTGAGGATGGACTTAAGGTTTTCACATGCTAGTCAAGTGCATTACCACTCAGCTTTGCTCTCACAGACCATGAAAGGAAGATAAAAATGGAGGCTGATCAACAAGAAGACTAGAGTTTCCACTTTCTAAGCTGGCAAGATGATGAAGGAACAGGCTGATGTGGGGTTCAGTTTTCAACAGGAAGCTGAAGGGTCTCCAAGTGAAGGTAGTTCTTCACACAGTGTGGAAGAATGGCAGCACTTCCTGCACTGCAGACGTCACTTCAGAAGGTCAGAGCACACAGATGCAGTGTGTTTAGCAGCCAGAGGTGCTCAGTTAGCAGCAAAAGAAATGATTCAAGTTTATTTTTGTTCCGAAGGCAGCATGATGGTTGAAAATAAGTAAAAAAGGTTGGTTATCTATAAAGAGTTGTTCAGGAATTCTGGCCTGGCGATGTATGTAGTTCAGGTACTAGAGTCCTTGTGTGGTGTGTATGAGGTTCAGGATCCCAGTTGTAGAATAAGGAGGATTAGAAGTTCAAGATCATTCTTAGCTATATAGTGAGTCTGAATCCTGTCTGGGACGCATGAGACCAGTGTTTACTCAGGCCTGATTTCTGTCTGGGCACACAAAGCCTATTAAACCTCATCAGAGACCTTTACCTGTAGGTAGAAGTTTCTTCCCTGCCAGAGCCCATAAAGATGGCTCCGCTTCATCTTGGCACAAGGTCAGAGAATTTGAAACTGTCCTTAGTAAGTCATAAGATCTAAAGGTCTAAGGTGTGGCCTCAGTAGGATGTTAACAACAGACTTGGTCTGAGGTATGATTACTCTTGACCCTCAACACCAGATAATGAGAAATTGAATCCAAGGTGTGGTTACTGAATCCTTGGAAAATTGAGGAAGAAACTCTATTTCTTCTGTGTACATGATACCATGTTCCCCTTTTTGGTTAAGGTATTTAAGAATGGTGAAGAATAAACTTGGGGTGTTTGGTATTCACTGAATTGCCCTCCTGACTCTATCCTGTGTCTCCTGTCTTTCTGTTAGCATCTTTATCTGCCCTTTTTCAATCCACACTCCCCCTTTCAGGAATGAACTGGTTCCAACTGTGCCCCACAAAGCTGGGTTTACACACTATCCCACAGTCGTTTAGTCCCAAATAAACACACAGAGGCTTATATTGATTATAAACCGTTTGGCCAATGGCTCAGGCGTCTTATTAACTAGCTCTCTCTTAATTATTAGGCTATTTCTATTAATCTATGTATCTCTACATGGTCTTGGTTTCCTGGAGAATGCCCGGAACTCTTCCTTCCTCAACAGCTACATGGGGTTTCCTCTTGACTCACTCTCTGTGTTCCTCATCCTAGCATTCTCCTAGTCTAGTAGCCCTGACTATACTTCCTGCCTCATTACATCCTGCCTGTCAATTGGCTGAAACAGCTTTATTTATCAACCAATAAAAGAAACATATATTTAAAACATACAGAAGGACACCCCCCATCATTAATCCTTTGTGATTTGCAAACATGAGTGAAACTTAACTTGACCCATTTCTTATAAATGCCTTTAGTAAAGGAAAACAAAACTTAAGCTCAACCAATCAGAAGCCATCAACAAGATCTTAATTATACAACTAGAATCTTCCCAGTGGGACAGATCAAACAATCCCATATAGTAGCTATGAGTAGCTATTTTTTTATGATTCCTTAACAGTCATCTTTTAAAAGCCTCTCTTCAAAGGATGCCCCTAAACCACATTGGGTCTGAACCTTTCTGATTTATTACTTTTTATTTGCTCAGATATACTCTTTGTAGTTTTATTGTTCATTAGTTTGTCTCCTTAATATGCCTTATTTTCCAAACTAAGAAGCAGAGAAGAATGAATCACCCCCTATAACTGTTCAATGTATACAAATTCCAAATAACCCTCACCTCAAACAACTGGGATGGACTGGCCCAAAAGTGTGTCTCTCTTCAAGTCTCCTGTAACTGTGGTTGGTTCTGTGTGGTTCCCTCCAAAAGGCACATAAAACATTTTTCACTATATCTTGGAGGCAGTTTATACAAACAAATTAAGTTTTAATTTTACCTTTACATCATATTTCATAAAATCAGTGCTCAAATGCACACTAGCTTTTAAGTATATATTTTATTCCTACAGATAAGAAAATATAATTAAGTCCAGAAGAAAAATATGTGTTATATATGTGTAAGTCAGCAGTTCTCAACCTGTGGGTCACAACACCTTTTGGGGGTTGAATAGCCCTTTCATGGGGGTTGCATATCAGATATCTTGCATGTCAGGTATTTACATTACAATTCATAACAGTAGCAAAATTATAGCTATGAAGTAGCAGTGAAAGTGATTTCATGGTTAGTGTAACCACAATATGAGGAATTGTATTAAAGCACTGGAAGGTTGAGAACGACTGGTGTAAATGAAGAAGACAGAGCCCTTGTCACACATCAACATTTACAGATTATCAAGAGAAAGAAGTCCCACAAGGAGGCCAGAGGAGGAGGCCCGTGAATTAGGAGAAAATTAGGCTAAGAATGCGTTGCTTTGGAGCCCATGGAAGATAATTAGTTTAAGGATGAGGGAATGGTTGGCCATGGCAAATGATTAGTCAAATAAGTTGGCTGGAAGCCTCTGGAGATCATTGGCAAAACCTGAAGAAAATAGCTTTGAGTGGTGACAATAGATAGTAATTAGCAGTCTCTTTAAACCAATGAACTTGGATTCACAAGGAGAATTGATTTCTGAGTTACCCTGCTTGAGTTAGCAGAGCCTGTTAACAGTGTTCTACTATTGATGGCTGTTCATGTGCTCTCAGATGTCACTTTACCCCAGCGACAAAAAGAGTGGGATCTTTTTTTATTGTTGTTTTTTGTTTGTTTATTTGTTTTGGTTTGGTTTTTTCGAGACAGGGTTTCTCTGTATTGTTTTGGAGCCTGTCCTGGAACTCACTCAGTAGACCAGGCTTGGTCTCGAACTCACAGAGATCCACCTGCCTCTACCTCTGGAGTTCTGGGATTAAAGGTGTGTGCCACCACCGCCCGGCAAGAGTGGGATCTTTAGGAACAGATCTGCTGTTAAGTGGCAGAGACATCTTTGGCTAGCTAGCTAGCCTTTCGGAGTATTGCATTGCTACAGTGAAAGTCGTATTAACTTTGATTGGTGATGTAGGAAGCAGCAATTATGGAGAGAAACCATGATAGTTAACCCAGGTTCCTGACCTGGGACCTCACTATTAATTACCCATTTTTTATCACCTTTTCTAATTGTAAATCCTTGGGTCTTCCACTTGAGGGAATGTCTTTATAATTTCCTTACAGTGGTAATAGTGGGAGCAATTATCACCAATTGCTAGTTTAAAAAAGTTTCTACATTTAACATTTGGATGAATTGACAGTATGTTAGCTCGACAGGTCAGCATTCTAATTTGCCCTTGACTTTTCAGTCTTCTCATACCTGCTTCTTGAGGATAATTGCCCTGCTAGTCATTCTCCTGTTTGCTACCCAGGCTTTCCCTGTTCAGCCTATGACGCAGACAGCTAATTCTGCAGTCTTCCTGCTATGTTTGCACGGTGGCCAACAGGTGTAGGAGACTAGAGGCTGGGAGGGAAAGGGAAAACAGAGTATTTAACTGCTTTTCCTGCTCAGGCAGCAAAGTCTTTTCCCAGCATCTCCAGTTT